CTGATTTATACGACCTATTGGAGTCTCAAGTGCTGTAAAACTCTTACACAAATTATTCAACAATCGTGATCATCCGCCAGTCAGAATACGAAGTACTACATAATGTCACATGACAATGCCGGCTCAGATCTTAATTGTGTCACGGCGCGATGGAGTCAGGCGCTCGTCAGCTTTGGGGCATATAGAGTTATTGGTATTATCTTCAAGCTTGTTCATTTTGGTTACCTTTCGATGAAAACTTAATACCCATTTATCTTGTAGATCTAGACAAGTCAAGATATTTGCGATTGAAGGAAGTGGGCGTCACTTGTTTTCAGGAGTAAAATTAGCTAGAAAATGACTTCCAAACTTTGGTGACTTTCGTTGCTTGAGAGTCCTTGAAAAGTGAGCATTTATATTTTTGTGCCTTTGATCAAAGTTTTTCAGCAAAATTCACACAGGAATGTGTTCTTAAATGGTGATGAGCCAAAAATTAAATTTAAAAGAAAAACAAGGGAAAATTGCAAAACAGAAAGAAAAAATGCTAGTTTCTTCAAATTTCATTCTGATGACAAGCGCCTGATTTCACCACTCTGCCTCATAATAGTTTGGCACGCGTAATGCGGTTGACTCTGAAGGACTACTTTGTGGCATCGAAGGCTTAGTGGCCAAAGGCACTAAAAAGTATACGTATAATCAGTTTTTAAAGACACCCAAGCTTTGAAAGTCACCAAATTTTGGTTGCCATTTTCTCGTTAATTCCACTTCTGACACCAGACGACCATCACCTCCTTCAGTCTCAATTATGCCGACTTCTATTCAAGATAGATTGCTATTTTTTCTGCCAAAAGCAAGGCAAAGAAATAAGTTTTATAATGATACCAATGAATGCTAAAAAGTTGACGAGCGCCTGATTCCACTGCGTCGTGACACGAAAGTAGTACATTTAGGGAGACAACTCACTTATCACAGACAGAGTACTCTTAAATTTTTGTTACCTCCCTCTACAAGATGATTTTCTAAAAGGAACATTCGCAAACACGTAATTCAAATATTTTTTCTTGGGTTTATATTTGTAAATTTTGTTTATTTTGTTTTGTTTTGTTGTTGTTGGTTGTTGATTGTTTTGGGGTTGTTTTTTTTTTGTTGTTTTTTTTGGGGGGGAGGGGGTTGCCTAAAAGTCAAATCTCTATAGCTTCCCTGCGGCGTTACTATTACTTACGGGTCTTCGTTTAGTCACAGGACAAACAAGAGAAGGAAACAGATCAGAGGGCCTTTTTGTTTTGATTTTTTTTTAAGTTTTAAGGCGTTCGCAACTGTTTAAGGTCAAGTGAGCGCGTGGGACACAAGTTAATTGTTTTCACAATAAGAATTGATAGTTTTGGTTGGTAATCAACTTTGAATTTTGCACGGGTGAAGGCCGGCACCTACTCTTATCGATTTTACTGCTATCAATGGGTTTTTAACCTGCGCAACTCGCACACAGGACCTCCGAGAAGGTTAGGTGTTCGATCTTACCTACTCTAAGATCAGGGGTGCTGCTGAAAGACAGCAGCAAGAAGGAGCCAAGAGCCCAAAGGACTGGGGGGAGGGGAGGAGGGGTGCAGAAAGTAGAGATGATGAAAGCAGATCAGTGAACATGATTAGAGAGCAGGAAATGGAGTGAAAAGGAGAACAATTTAGAGAATAAAAAGTTTTTCACCATTGTAAGGTTTCAACTGTTGAGTGAAAAGCGACCACCGTATCTTTAGACCAAGAGGGCCCATGATTACGTCCTTTGAAATTCACCAAAGAAACTAGCACTGCTTCTGAGCATAATAATTATGCCTGCCTGTTCTTTCGGGAAATAGACTTCTGTAATACTTCTGTAATTGTGGCGTCGGACTCGCAATCGTAAGGTCGTGGGTTCGAATCCCATCGGGGGCCCGACGTTGTGTCCTTGGGAAAGGCACTTTACACGAATTTTCCTCACTTCACCTAGGTGGGAATGGGTACCCGGCTATAGACAGCGAAAGATCTTGTCAGTTTGTTAGTGTTGGGGCGCTTAATCAGCTGCTTGCACTGTATGCTTCCCGGGAAGCTGAGAATGTTTCGGAGTGTTCTATTGTCTGCTGGGGTAATAAGATAGTGTAAAGCGCTTAGAGCCTGCTGTTAAGCGGGGATATGCGCTATACAAATGCTATTTATTATTTATTATAATACCAGAATAAAAGCAGGTGCTCTCGTGGCATAGAGGTTAAGGTGTTGGCCTCTCATTCAAAGGCCCCGGGTTCGAATAGGGGTAGCGACCGAAAAATTTTCTTCTCTAAAAAATGTCTCCTTTCACCTCCTTTCCTGCTCTCTAGAAATGTTCTGCTGTCTGATTTCATCTCCTCTTTCTGTCCCCACCCCCTCACCTGCTTTGCCCCCCCCCCCCCTCTTCGGGGCTCCTGACTCTTTCTGCAGCCTTTCTTCTGCTACTCCTTGGCTCCTCCTTACTGCTGTCTTTCAGCCACACCCCTTATCTTCTGATAGGAAAGATCTACACCTAGCCTTCTAGGACAAGGGCGAAAAATTTCGGAGGTCCTGTGTGCAAGTTGCGCACGTTAAAGATCCCTTGGTGGTCTAAATTCGATCAGAGTAGGCTTCGGCCGCCACCCGGGCAAAATTCAAAATTTCCTACAAACTGAAAAAGTTTAATGTGTCCCGCGCGCTCACGTGACCTTATGCGAGCGCCGTAAAACACTTACCAAAAGGAAAAAAAAGAATAAAAGCCGGTAAAAAAAAAAAAAGGTACAACGTTCAGGGAGATAACTCACTTATCACCTACAGAGTACCCTTCATTTTTGTTACTTCCCTCTCTACAAGAAGACTTTCCTAATCTATGAAGGAAAACTGGATACCGGTAATTGCAGGGTAGTTTGTCCAATGACAATAAACTAATGGTCTCTGGAATCATCGATGGCATGTTAATATGACAGGTCAGTCGGTGCAATTTGATTCCCATATAATTTACTGAAGCTGTGGTAACGTTTTACGACTATGGTTGGAAAGCGGCACTGGTTGGTCCTGCTTCAAATCTGTCTCGTTGTCGTTTCTGCATGTCTGCCTGTCTTACCTTTTACCCTTCGCAATTGCGTCTTTGTTATTTTCATTATTCAATAAAAAAAGACTTTTTTAAAGCAACAAAAAACGAACCAACAAAGACAACAAAACAAAAACATAAAAAGAAAAGAAAAAAACCCAACTAAACAGAACAAAACAGCCCATAAGGTCTAAAAATCAGGGGTGGCTTGTTATTATCATCATTCTCGATCATTATCATTATTGCTATTATTATTAGCGTCATGATTATTATTGTTATTGCTATTATTATTTTTTGTATCCAGTCTCGTCGGTTTCAGAGCCATTAAAAGCCAAGCAGATTTTACTTCGCTCTGACACTACGAAAGTAAACATAATTTATTACAGTCGACTCCCACTTGTGTTGAACTTGCTTGAGTTGATCTTCGCTTAAGTTGACCTATTTCTTGGGTCACAGCACCACTTCTTCTTCACGCTTGTTAAAGACTGTTAGTCGGTGGTTGGCGGGTACTCTGGTGTGGTTTGC